GGGGGGAGCTCGGAGCCCGCCCAGCCTGCTGCCCAGCCTGCTGCCCAGCAGGTGAGCAACGGGCTCAGGGGAAACTGAGGCCGCCTTCTCTCAAGGCCGCCTAGCAGAGAGCTCCCTGAATGTCCAGCGAGGAGTGTCCGAGGGTGTCCAGAGCTGCCTCGGCCAAGGACTTTGACCAGGGAGGGTCCTATTCCTCGCTCTGCTGTTGGCCTCTAGTCAGTAATAGCAGGGTCTCCAGCCCCTCCCCTGAGGCCAAGGTCCCTAGACCCCGGTGGAGATGGGAAAGCCGAGGTTCTTAAGGAGCTCATACTGGCCCAAGGTCACCTAACCCTAGTAGAAGGGAGTTGAAGTTCCTGAGTCCCAGCTCTCCCACTCAGGTCTGCCCTGTAACCCCTGCACCCAAAAGAAAAGGGTAGCGAGTGACTCTGGGCCTGTTCCCTGCTGGCCTGTCCCCCACTAGGCACCCCACCAGTCCTAAGCCAAATTCGGGCTTTGTGGCAGGGTCAGGGGTCATGAGGATCAGTGTGGCTGAGCCTGGAAGGTGCTAGAACTTGTTGGGGTGGGGCTCATACTCCAGCAGAACACTGGGCTTTTCTAGAACCTTCTGCCTCACTCCACCACCTGCCAACATGCTTGTTATGGTACCAGCGGTAGTATCAGCAGGGTGGTTTTGAGAGAACTGTGGGCTCACCCTGTTTCATGGATGGAGCAGCTGAGACTGGACAGGGCAGACTGGCCCTGGGTCACTTGGCCTGCCAGGGACCCTTGGGGCACCCGGGCTGGGCGTGTGGGGAGGGGCAGCTGGCCCCCCCAGCTTTGGAGTCCTCTTCTGGCTGCGACTCTCAAGCTGACCTTGCTGCCTCCTGCGCTGTGCCCCAGGCCCCTGCCCGCACTGCCCCCCAGCCCCTGCAGATGGGGCCCTGCGCCTATGAGATCAGGCAGTTCCTGGACTGCTCTACCACTCAGAGTGACCTGTCCCTGTGCGAGGGCTTCAGTGAGGCTCTGAAGCAGTGCAAGTACAACCACGGTGAGTAGGCGGCCCCTGACCCAGGCTGGGGCGGGAGGGGTGGTCCTGCCTCCTGCACCTGCAGGTTCACCTCCAGCCTGTGCACCCCTCCCTCTGCAGGTCTGAGCTCCCTGCCCTGAAGAGACTGCTGCAGATTCAGGGGCCAACCCTGCACCTCCCTCCACTCCTTCACCACCAGCCAGACCATGACGTCAGGTTGTACCCGTGTAACTGGGACTAGGAGTGAGGAGGGGGTTTCTCAACCCCTAGGTGACCCGAGACAAAAATGTGCAATTAAAAGAGTTTATTTTAGACCCAAGTCTGCTGTGTCCTCTGTCATTGGACTGTCTGCAGGGTGAGGGAAGATGCTTCACTGTGAGCTGGTGTCCTGGGTTGGGAGGGTGACCTTGTAATCCTGTTGTAATCAGTCTCGGGCAGTCCAAACGGGGATGAGGCATCAGCAGGTGATCTCAAGGGCGTATGACACCTGGGGCTGGAATCCCTGGAGGAGTATGTTGTCTCCTCTCAGGGACCCCGGCTTCTCCACACCCTTCTCTCTGTCTCCGATCCCTTTCTTAGCTCCCACATCTTAGGGGCGTCTGAGGCAGCTTTGTATTGTCTGTGACCTTCCCCCTCTTGCTGATGCAATTTCCCAGTAATTCCCTATTCTGCAAGAGGAATGCGGCTGGGACTTCGGGCTTGATAACACAAGGTAAAGGTCATGACCAACCCGCTTGGGTCTGAGTCCAGCTCGGCCACTTGGCTGTGGTGTGCCAGGTCACAGGGCCGTCAGAACAGAGGCGCTGGCCCTTCAAACGCCATCACACAGGGATTTTGTTCAGCAGCTCTGCAATGAGCGCCTCCCCTGTGCCTCCTGGACCCTGAGGATGCTCCTGTCTTTGGGCTCTTAGACTCTAGAAGGATGCTGGAGACCTGTCTCCCAGTATAGTGTGTTCCATCACGGGGGTATATGTGTGTCCAAGGGAGGCTGGTGTTGGGGTCCACCTCTCAGCACACACATCTTCCCCTGGGAAGGGTTTGCACTTCTGGTGTGAGCATCCCCTCAGGTATCTCTGTCATTTCCTTACCTGGCTCCTGGCCCAGCTGGCGGGTCCTGGACAGCAGGGAGCCCACCCTTCGCCTTGAAGGAGGGCCTTGCTCCTGGTGGCCACGCTGAGTGCCTGCACGCCTCCTCCGGCCATCACCCACGGAGGGCAGGCCTGACAGCCAGCGCAGCTCCTCTGGAAGGCCCAAGAAGCCCTGCCTGTGGGGCTGCCCAGAAGATGCACTCCCCCACCGGGGGGCACTTCTGTGACACTCACCTGCCAGCTCTGGATACCAGTCATCCAGGTTCTCCAGCATGGACTCATAGCGGGTGGGGGCCCCGTCTTCCCCCTTTGCAGAGGGGTGAAGACTGATTTCCTGGCTGGCTCGGTGGTCTCCACCCCCACCTCTCACTCTGAACCCACTTGCTGGCCCAGACTGGGGCCAGGACAAGGCATTGGATGGGAAAGTCAGGACTAGGTGCTGGCCAAAGCGAGGGTGGGGCGGGGCTTGGGTAGTCTTCAGCTGCTGTCCCCACCCTTACATTCCAACATAGCCGCAGCGGGGAGTCTTGGGCCCCACTTACTGATGACCTGCACCAGGACATATGTGCCACACTCCTGCAGCAGGGGGCTGCCCACGAAGGGCGTCAGGGAAGTCTCCTCCTCCAGTCCCTCACCCAGGCTCACCAGGTGCCCGTCCTCAGCCAGGAGGGCGATGGTCACTGGGAGGGCAGAGAGGGAGGCAGGGCAGGGCAGGCACCCCTGCCTGGGGGCCGTCAGCCAGTCCTCCCAGCACCCCTCCCCGCCCCCTCACCATCTGGGGGCACCTGCCCCCTCCGCCTCAGGTGGGCAGTGAGGGTCACCAGGCTGCACCAGGGGTTCACCAGCTCCCAGCAGCCGGCTGCAGGGGAAGGGCAGAGGTGAGTGAATGGGACCCTCTATTTTCCCCCAAACAGACCCTCTGCCTCCCTCCTGTCTCTTCCCTACAGAGCTGGGAAGGGAGCTACAGAATAGCAATGTCTCTCCTCCATCTCCCAAGATATCAGTGATGGGTGCACAGCTCATGCTTCCTGCATGGGACCTTACACTTCCACTTCAGCCCCACTTCCAGCCCCCCTGCCCCCGACAGCCCCCCTCAACCTGCATTAGCCCTGCCTCCCCCAGACGGTTGAGAATCTGCAGCTGTGACTAGAGCTTCAGGTGCGTCATGCATCCTGGAGCTTGAGGACCGCTGATCAGCTAAGAAATGGAGCAGTTTGAAAACATGCTCCAAGGTAACAGTGGTGGTGAGGGCGGAGTAGGGGTGGGGTAGAGGCCACCCTTGAGGAACCCAAGTGAATTTCCCAGGACCTCAAGGCACTCACTCCAGACACTCCCATCCCCTTCCCACGTGCACCCCCTTCCCCACACTGCCTCCCCACCCACCCCCAAGGCAGAGGGACTGAACCTCACCACCTGTCTGCCAGGACAAGGGACTCCACTTACCCCCAAACATCACCGTGATAAACATGGCTGCAGAGGAGAGGAGACAGATGTGGGGGCTTTGGTCCTCCAACCCCCAACTTCTGAATAAAGCAAGGATCCAGAACCCAGATCTACTCTGGGTTGGGCCCTGCAGAAGATGTATGTGTGTGGAGGTGATGGGTGGGTGATAGTTGGGTGGGCCCAGGGGAGCTCCCTGCCTGCTGCCCTTGGGGCTGGGCTCCCCCAGCCCAGAGGGGTCCCTGCAGCTACTCCTGGATCCTTGGCCTCCTCTTCCTCCCACTTACTGGATCAGAGCAGCCAGAGAAGGCTGAGGCCCTCCCAGCTTCCAAGCTGGTCTCCATGGCAGTGGGAACTGCCAAGACGTCAGGCAGGAAATGCCTTCCCCCCAGTGTCCAGGTAACAGGTTCTGGGAAGGGTACAGGCATTCCTGACACAGGGCTACAATGGGGGCTGGAGCTTCAGGGTCCAGGGATGTCCAGAGACCACATCCCCCGACCAGAAGAGACAGAGCTCCCAGGCTGAAAGTGGGGGAGGTCCTGGGGGTGGGGTGCCGGCCAAGGCTGTGTCAGAAGCAGGGTCCCCACTAACCTTCCAGGCCCCTGCCCCTGGGCTCACTCCCAGCCTCCCTCTCTTCTGTCCTTGTTTCTTTCCTTTTTTAGTCCAATTTCTTGAGGTATGACTTACATACCACAAAATTCACCCTTTTTAGTGTCCTTGAGTTGTGACAAGTATCATGCAACCACCAACATGGTCAGGATAAGTAACGTTTCCATCACCCCCACACCAAATTCCCTTATGCCACTTTGTGGTCACTCCCGGCCCTAGCAAGCACTGCAGTGTTCTTGGCCCCTGCCCTCTCCCTCTGCCTTATAGAGGGAGCCACACAGTGTGGAGCCTTTCAAGTCCAGTCACTCACTCAGCTCCACACACCCACGTGAGACTCACCCAGGTGGTCACTGTATCAGTGGCTCCTTCTCATCACCGAGGAGGGCTCCCTGCCTGGAGGTACCACAGTCTGGGGACCCACTCATGTGCTGCTGTTTGGATTGTTTCCAGTTTTTGACAATTATGAATAAAGCCGGTACAAAGACTGGCCTGCAGGTCTCTAGGTGAAGAGACACCTTTCCATTTCCAGTAGATAGCGGTAAATACCATAAATACTGACCAGTAGAGGGATTGCTTTGTCACGTGGGGAGAGAAATTTAATTTCTTTGCAAGAAACTGCCCATGTTTTCCACCCCTTTCATATTGCTCCTCTACCCATCTGCTTGTGGCTGGGGCTCCCGGATTCCCAGCAGGTCATGAGCACCTCTTTCTTAGCTGTCCCTCCGACTGGCTCCCCGGGGAGTAGGCTGATCATCCACCCTCTTCAGGCAGAGCTCTGGGCAGGAGGCAGGAGGAGGACCAACTCCTCCGTGCAGCTCACCAGGGTTGCTCCTGACAAGACTTTCCTCGGTGCTAACACCTGTAAAGGGGATGAAAAGCATGCTCACAGCACCACCGTGCAGCAGGTCAGCACAAGGATTAAATGCAGTTTCCTTTAAAGTGCAGCCTCGGGCTGAGCACACAGCAGATGCTCAGAGGCAGTACTGGGGAAACAGACAGCATGTCCTAAACCTACCTACACGCAGGGCACTTCCTTCCCGGCACACCACTGTTTCTGGGGACCCACGTCCTGCAGAACAAGCGCAGGAGTGGCTGCAGCTAGATCTTGGAAGGGATGGCTGCTCGGGGCCCTGGAACTTCAGCTCCAATGACCACCACTCTGTCGTCCAAGGGGTTTTACTCTAGTGCCGCTGAGGAGGGGTCTTTTGTCTTGAGCATCACGGAGGTACTCTAAAGAGGTTAGGAACGGAGTAGGACCCACAGTAGGGGGCTTTCATAACCTCCCCTAAGTGAGCCCTCAGGCTGCAACAATAGGGCACTGTTTTCACTTGTTTTCTTAGTATTCAGGTATGGGAAGGCCAACAGATCAGGAGATGACCACCGTTGAGAAGATGGTTTGTGACGCACAGTTCCCAAGAGGAGGGGGCACGACACACTGTGGGGGGCCAGGCCACGTGGGAAAGCACCAGGGTTGGTCAGGAGGTAGATGGAGGCGAGCTCTGTGCAGGACCCCTTCTTGTGGTTTCTGAGAGAAGGAACCAACCTGCAAGGCAGGATAACTGGTTGGAATAACCTCAGGGCTCTGGGGCACAGGGGCTGTCCCTGGCTGTCTGGTACCTGGCCCTGGGTGACTAGGACGGGAAGACAGTGGCTCAATGCAAGAGCTCCCTTAGAGAAGGTGGTTGGGAGCGTGGGCTCAAGAGTGGCTGGTTTGCATTTGAAAAGTGTGCTACTGTCTCTAGGAACTGACTGAACCTGGGAGGGTTCCAGATCTCTCCAAGTTCTCTCCAAGGTCAGCAAGGTCCAAGATGTCAAAGCATCAAGTTTGAATCCCAGCTCACTCAGGTTGAATCCCAATCAGTCAGCTCCCCTCTGTCTGGCAAATTAAAGGGACTGAATGTTGGCCCCACGTCCCAGAACTCTCTTACCTACAATGTGCACAACCACATTGGGACCCTGGTGGTATCTACTAATACTAAATGGAAACGTTCCCGACCCCCCGGGGTCCCCAGTCCTGGGTGTCTACTCAGCAGGAACAAGAGCACAGGTGCACCGGAGTCACAGGCAGGAACAGTCACAGCAGTTCTCTTTGTTATGGCCAAAGACGAAAGCACCCAAATGTCTACTAATAGGAGATGGATAAACTAATTGTGGTCCATCCACACAGTGGATGTGAAAATGAATTAAACATGGCTGCACACACAGATGATTCTTCTACTGCTGAACAAAAGAAGCAAGAACTAAAGAGGACACACTAGCATCCCATTTAAGTTGACTTTCTACCCCAAACTGATCTAACCACAGAGTCAGAAAGATGGTTACAGGTGGGGGTGAAGAGGCCGTCACTGACAGGGGAGGCTTATGAGGGAGACTTCGGGGGAGGTGGAAATGTTCTAAATCTTCATCTGGGTAGAGGCTGCAGGGATATATATATATATATATATATATATATATACATAAAAATCGGGGTTGGGGGAGAATATAGCTCAGTGGTAGAGCGCATGCTTAGCATGCACAATGTCCTGGGTTCAATCTCCCGTCCCTCTATTTTAATTAATTAATTTATTAACCTAGTTACCTTCCCCCACCAAAAAAAAAAAAATTTAAATAAATAAACTTAATTACCTCCCCTACCAAAATAAAAGCCTAAAAAAGAATCTAAGTTTCAATTTTATAAAATAAAATAAACATACACTTGAGATGTGTGCACTTTACCGTATGAGTTACACCTCAAAGAAAAAGTAGCCACCTGCTATAACTGCACGCGTGGATTTCCAGGCTCCTGTTCTCAGAAGGTCCTGTGAGGCCAGGACCCTGCTGTTTGGGAAGACAGGGCCTGGCTGTTGGGCCCCCCCAGCGCCACCCCTCCCATGCTCCAGTCAATGGGCTGATTTGCATGCCCTGCCGTGGTCCAGCGGCCTCCCCTGCTGTTCCCTGAAGCACCTGGGTTTCGTCCAACAGAACGACTCCCGCCGGCCTCCCTGCCCCTGGCCATGGTCTGCTGGCGTCTGGCCCTCCTCCTAGCTGGGGCCCTCCTGGCAGGTGAGCCCTCCCTGGGCCCGGCTTACCTGGGGGTGAGGTGGGACACAGCATGGGTTCCAGAAAGCCCTTGAATGGAAGCAAATTGCTATGGGCAGTGGGGAGGGTTCTGGAAGGGGCATTGAGGTGGGGGAAGATAAACTGCAGATGGCTCTGCCATAGACCTTAGGCAGGTCACTCTTCTGCGTGGGCCTCGGTTTCCCCATTTGTGCATGATCAGATTGCTAGGGTCCCTTTGGACACTGACTCTCTGGGGCCTCAGAGACTAGTCACCTTTTGGGTTATACAGGGGGGAAACTGGTGTGATCTGGTCCCGAGAGAACCTCAGGACACACTAACACTGAGAAAGCCCCCAAGGGCCAGTGGCCTGAGGCTCAGCTAATGGGTAGTAACAGCCCAAGAGCCTCCCTGGGGGTGGTCAGTCTGTAGCCAGGGTTTGGAAGAGCCAGTGTGACCAAAGTTTTAGGGGTCAGCAGGGTAAGGGATGAGGGCGGGCAGCAGAAGAACGCAGAGGCCACCAGTCCCACTCTCTGAACTCTAGGTCCTTAACTGAACATAGATCCTTGTGAACATGGCACTAATGGGGGCTGAGGGGGTGCCAAATCAGTGCTCCACCCAGTGCTGATCCAGTGGCACGGGGCTGTGAGTTTTTGGATTCTCCCAGGAGTCTGACCAAGGCTTTGTAGGGTGGGGCAGGAGGGAAGGGGCCCAGGCCAGGCCTGAGTGTGTCTGTCTCTCAGTCTCCCAGCCAGCCCTGACCCAGCCGGAGGCACTGCTGGTCTTCCCAGGCCAAGTGGCCCAACTTTCCTGCATGCTCAGCCCCCGTTACGCCACCGTCGGGGACTACGGTGTGTCTTGGTATCAGCAGCGGGCAGGCAGCGCCCCCCGCTACCTCATCTACTATCGCTCAGAGGAGGACTACCACCGGCCCCCGGACATCCCTGATCGCTTCTCAGCAGCCACAGATAAAGCCCATAACGCCTGCATCCTGACCATCAGCCCTGTGCAGCCAGAGGACGAAGCAGATTATTACTGCTCCGTGGGCTACGGATTCTAGGGGTGGGATGTGGGATGTGGGATGAGTGCCTCCCATCTGCCTCCTATTTCTGTTCCTGACCTTTCTGTGAGCCTTCATTTTCCTCCTCCATAAAATGGGTTAGTAATACTCAATATATCAATAATATTCTGAGGGTCATGAGATCCTTGCTGAAAAAGCGACTGTGGTCCATCTGAGAGTATGGCGGCAGGGATTCTGGGGATTGTTGCAGAAGAGGAAGCACCTGAGAACCTTGGGGTGGGGCCCAGCCTCCCCACTGGCTCCCAGGGGGCTCAGACTGGTGGCTGTTGCCTTCCTGTGACCTGAGGAGCCGGAGGGAGAGAAAAAGGAACCAGCCTTTGCTGCTCCCGGCTCTGCATGGCTGGTTGTGGTCCAACGCTCTCGGGGTGACTGGGCTTGGTGCCCAGGCTCCTAGCTTGGGGAGGGGCAGCCTCTGCCTACGTGGATGGGGCAGGAAGACGCGTGGGCGTGTGGGGAGGGTGAGAGCATTCAAAGACACCCGAGGGCCAGGACAGGAGGTGCTGAGGGCAGGTGGGCAGAATAGGAAGCAGCCCTCCTCTCAGGAAAGTGTGTTCTAGAGGTTTCCTGTTATAGGGCTGTGGCCCCCGAGGGAGGTGCAGGATGGACCGGAGCATTGGTGTTGAGGGACTACTGGGTGGAGGGGCAAGTCTTGTCATCAGAAGCCGAATCAAGTTCTAGGGTGGGGGAGCAGGTTTAAGAACACATGCCTCTTCCCTCCCAGTTTCCTTAAGAGGCGCCGTCTGAACGGAGGTCATCCCTCAGATGCAGAGTTGGGGTCTCGAGGGTCCCGCCTATGCTCCCAGCCATCTCCTGGATGCGCTCCTGGCCCTCCTCATCTATCTCTGCGGGGACGGGGTGGGCAGGCAGGACCACGGCTCCCCACGAAGGGAGGGTACATCCCCAAAGGACCCGGGGCCTGCGCAGGGTGACGGGCTCCGCAGTCCTGGGCACGCCTCCTGGGGACCCCAGCCGCTCCACGGCCTCGGCTGGCCCCACCCCACGGGCAGGTGCCCTCCCGGCCTCAGTTTCCTCCTCTGCGCTCCCGCCAACGCCCGCCCAGCCGGGACGCGTTGGGGGAAGGCCCG